TCAGCCTCCATAATGGGATAAGCCAATTCCTTATAATAAATCATGTAACATCTATGTCTGGTTTGTGACCAGACTTGGACTGAGAATGTTCTATTCATGAATCCACCTGGTATCACTCTGAAAACCATCTGCAAGTAGAATACAGCAATCCCCAAACTGAAAAATGTCCAAGCTTCAGTCTTTCACCTAAGTAGGGCAATTTGTTCCATTGAATCAAACTTCTGGATCAGCCCTGTCCCAGCCAGAGTATGATTCAGCTATGAACTTCTTTAATTCAGGCTTTTAAAATGCAGAATACCCTTTGCCACGTGGAACAGTTAGACCAAGGGTTCTCCACCTGGAGAGATTCAAACAAACAAACAAACTTGGAGCCAGGACTCCACTTCCAGATATTAAAATTTAATTCTTTTGATAGAAACATAGCATGATTGTTTTTAACACTCTAGTGATTCTAAAACACAGCCAGGCTTCAGAAATATTCATCTAGGCCATTCCATGACAATAACCCACATAGGATCAAGACATTCCTGAATTAGCCTACAAATTCTGAGGCTTTGATGCCTGCAATTCTCTTAGACATAGTTTTGTCACAATAAGGCCGAGCCCACATCCTCCCATCTCTTACTCTCCCTTTTTTTTGTGGTGAGTCAGGAGTGTCTTTTAAGGGACTTTTCTCCCTCTCCTCTGGTTACTATCATCTTTTCCTTATTTTAGTCCTTTTCTATTCAAAGTATGATCCTCAGACAACCCCAGTGGCATTACCTGGATGCCTGCTAGAAATATAGCATCCCATGCCCCACCAACTAAGTAAGATTCCACATTGTAATAAAATCCCCAGGGGACTTTTTGTACTTTAAAATTTGTGATTCACTGATCTATACCACCTCTAAATGGACCCCACTAGAATAACGCCCTGAAACCAGGACAGTTAGTGTGCAGAGGGGTAGGTGTATCTGTTCCTTCTTTCATCTCCTAAGAAATGAAGTCATTAGTTCCCTACCATAAAGCCTATCCTTCCATGTTAGTTAAGTAAAAATTATATATAGTGTGTATTCAGAGTCAAATATATACATATATAAAAATGGGGAGAGAGCAAGAGAGAAAGACCAGCCAGTTGTCTCTGCAGTTGGCCAGACAACTGGTTGATGGGGAGGGATGGGTGTGGGAGGGGAAGGAGGTACATGAGAATGCCAAAGCTCAGCACTAAATTAGGTACTCAATGCATAACAGCTGAATACATGAGCTCTTCACATGCCATTCATATTTCTTGAGTCTCTTGTTTCTACTTGGTTTGGCTTGGGTGTCTCCTAGCGCGTGTTGGTTGGGATCTTTTTCTTTTATGGCTTAGTGTCTCAAAGGCAGATTACTGGCAGCTGGGTCTGAGCAATACCTTAGATATTTGACTGTTTCAGGACCTGTCAAGGGACTCGTTGATCCAAAATAAATCTCTTGAGCTCATGCTGAACTTCATTTCATCATTCTTAGTTGAGAAAGGAATCTATTGGCATTGAGAGTAGAAGCCTAGGGAAGCTTAACTGAAGATAACATTCTTGTGCTCTCATTTTCTCTCACCTTGGTCACCACCATTTAGTAAGGTCTGTGTCTCATGTTCCAATAGGAGCAGCATAACAGTATTTAGAATTGCAATTGAGAATATTCATTTTGGAGTCAAATGAATTTTGCTTGACTCCCACTCCTGCCACATTTAAGCTTTAACTTTAAATATGCTTATACTTGAACATCAACATCAATGTTCTTTTCTGTAGAATAAGAATAGTGAGAGAACCTGTCTCACATAAATATTGTGAAATTACATATACAGTACATAGCTTTGCATCTGGTACATAGAAGTGCTTTATAGATAGTATTAATATGATCACTGTTATTATCGTAGTCTGTATTAAACACATTAGCTACTACTGTTGACCCAGGGTGAGTCTGGGCTACCCTTAGGGACTGAATCTAATCTCATGTTAAGTTGCATAGTGTCCTCTGTAAGTTTCTTGGAGGTATTATAAGTGTGAAGAACACAGGCACGCTCCTCTTAAAAATAGTAATTATGTTCACTTATATAGAGACATCTAGACATCTGAGGAAATACTTTTTCTGAAAAAGAAGTTACGAGCTGGTGCTCGTATTGGGAGATTCTTAGGAATCCAAGAATGTACAACCAAATTCAAGTCCTAATGCAAAAGAATTTAGCATTGTTTGTATATTTGCTTAAACAAAGCTGTTAGCAAGGTTTATTCATTGTGATCATTTTTGAGCCATGCTCTAGTTCCAAACAAGTGCTAGATTGCATTTACTGCCCCTGCCTGCTCACTTTCTCTGTTGCAGTTCCAAGTCAGCCCTTACTGGAATGCCAGAGCTTGAAGGCAAAGAGTTTGAATCCCCTGATGCCAGGTTATTCTTGGCAATAACCCACCTTGGCCCAGATAGACTCATGAGGCTCTGTCCTCTTTATTCAGGACTGGAACCAGGAGAGAGCTATTCTGTGTAGAGTAATGTAGGCATGGAAATCTCACCTGGGCACACCCAGGGATTGCCCCTGAAGATAATGAAGGGGCAGGATGGGATCACTATGATATTCAAACTATTCTCTTTAAATAACAGAATCTTTTTTTAAAATCAAGCAATGAAGTACTGCAACACATAAAACAGATACAAATCCTTTGTTCTGACTGATAAGTATGCATATGTGCATAAGGGACTTTTGGAGCCTCTGCTTTCCAAATACTGCTATGGGTACTCATCACACATACATATACATATTCGGTGGTCTCTGTTGCTTGCCACCAAGGAATCTCTAGGCGCCTTTAAACATTGTTTAAAAATCACTGCAATAAATGATTTTTAAGGCATAGTTAGCTCCTGTTTTCCATGATACCAATGACCAACTATAGCTCTGGGTAGATAAGAAGGGGTTCTGTGTCTTGGAATGAAAGTGAGATAGAGTCTGTAAGAGTAGCCAAGGCTGAGAGAGAGAGAGAGAGAGAGAGAGAGAGAGAGAGAGAGAGAGAGAGAGAGAGAGCGAGCCAGCCTGGGGTTGAAGCAGAGAAAAAGCCAAGGACCAAAGGGAAGGGCTGAGTATTAGTGGAGGTGAAAGCCAGTCTTTAGGAGCAGACAAGGCAGCAGGGGACTGTTTCTGGGTTCTCAGTCCTGAAACACATGTCATTAGCCCACCCAATGCAGTGTTTGACTGTCATCCATTTGTGGTCTGGATTGATCATTAACCTCCAAAGGACCAAATATGCTTCCACGTCTAGCTTGGCAAGACATTCATCTTGCATGGTTAGTTTTCAGCATAAGCCCAGTCAGGAGATCTAATAGGTTGGCAGAGGGCAGAGCCCAAGTATCCCTTCAAAGAAGTCCAAGTAGAATCCAAAAGCTCTGGGTCTTTTGAACTGTCATTTGCATTGATGAAGTGTGTGCTTGAGAGCATTTTAGAAGCTTTAGTACTTACTCCCTATTCTGGGATCTGTAAGATATGTCTGACATTTGGCCAAAGATCTTCAATGACATCACTGAGTCTTAGAAAAAATGGATGGTCTAGATAGAAGCAGAGAAAAACATTAAGTAGAAATTGGGCAGGGTGCGGTGGCTCACATCTGTAATCCCAGCATTTTGGGAGGCCGAGGCAGGGGATCACCTGAGGTCAGGAGTTCAAGACCAGCCTGGTCAATATGACAAAACTCTGTTCCTACTGAAAATACAAAAATTAGCCAGGCATAGTGGCAGTAATAGTAGATTCTCTGGAAGCTGAGGCTGGAGAATTGCTTGAATTCAGGAGACTGAGGTTGCTGTGAGCCAAGATCACACCACTGCACCCCATCCTGGGTGATAAGAGCAACACTCCGTCTCAAAAAAAAGAAAAACAATTGGGTTAGGCAGACATGTTAGAAGGATTAGAAAGTTAGAAAATTTGGGGGAAATAATCCCAACTGCTTTTAAAACCAAGCCAAGAATACCCACAAAAATAGAGACAATCCTTCTGAATGTTATCCTAATATCCATCTTAGATATATTTAAAGCTTTGGTATAAATATATCAAAACACTGCACACTGCATATAGATACAACTTTTATTTGTTAATCATACCCTAATAAAGCTAGGGGGAAAACATACCCTAAAAATTAGTCAAGCAAGTGGACTTTAGATTTGCTTAATTTTCTGGCAGAATCTCTAATATAACCTGCAAAATGCTCCATGATCTAAAATATGCTTCTGTCTCTGGAAGGGACTGATACCTCCAAAGGAGTATTATGTCACTGAGTCTGATTTTAAAGAGCAATTTCAAAATCAGGCTTTCTAACCCACAGTATCCAACTACTGTTTTTCCTTCTTTTTCCTCTCCTCCCTGGCATATCTCGGAATGAATTACTGGGCTGCTGTGTCCCAGTCCAGGGTAAGCAGGAGATCAAATGGTCAAAAGGTTATGGGAGGGAGGCTGGACGGCCAGGCCATAATCTCCATAAGGACACAGAAGTACTACTTCACATCAAAAAATTAGACCTTCCAGCCCCTAAAATTCCCTGAGACTGAGTCGATTTGTTTTTTTCTAAGTTAGAGGCCGGGGTGATAATTCACACCAGTCCCCAGTTCCCCTCTGCAGTGGACTGGGGAGTGGATTTAGCAGAAAAATTCTGGGGCAAGTGGAGTGTCCAGGAGGCTGGAGGTTGGAATGAGAGGTAAGAAGCGGATTGGATTTGTAAGGAAAGTGGGGTAACTGAAGTGACTTTCCGCGTTCTAAACATAGCCTAAACAAGAAAATTGGGTTTCTCAGAATGGCCCACCTAAGAAATTCTGTCGGCTCCGGCCAGTCTAGTTTTGAAACTCCTAAGGCGTCAACAGGGAGCGGCTGCCTGGGTTCGGCTCCTCTCTCCTCATTAGGCAGCAGGGTGGGGTGGAGCGCAGGGTGCGGGCGGCCTGCGTGAGCGCCAGCCCTGCACGCTGCCTCCACCGGCGCCCGGCATCTGTTCTCGCCGCCTGCCCAGAATAGAACGTCTCATTGTGATGGATTAATCCTTTGGCCCCGGTCCTGCCCGGGTCACCAGCTCAGCCTGCGCCCGCCGAGTGCTGGAGGGTGGACAAAGGGCACTTTAATCACTCAGCACATTCCCTCTTCTCTCCTGCAGAAGGGCCCTCTCCAGTTGCGCGGCCCTCGTACAGAAACCGGGATGGACTTGCAGGTGGCGCGCCTCCAACAAGGAGACTGTATGCTTCCTTTTAAGTGGTTCATGGACTCCTCGGGGCGCAGAACCAAATTAAGGGAGATCTTTTCCTTTCTCTGATTTCTCTGGAATATTTAATTTCTACTTCTTGTTTAACCTCTCTGTATTTAATTTCCTCATCTGTAAAATGGGGATAATGATTTTACTTACCTCATAGGATCAATACTATGATTGAGTTAATACACATAAGGTGCTTTCGACTTCACAAAAGGACAAATATTGTAGCAGTCCCCTTATATAAGTATTTAGGGTCATCAAATTCGCAGAGAAATAGAAGGTGTTTGCAAGGGCCCCGGGGGAAGAAGAAAATAGGGATTATTGTTTAACGGGTGCAGAGTTTCAGTATGGGAAGATAAAAAGGTTTGGAAATGGAGAGCGGTGATGGTTGTACCACAAGGTGAATGTACTTCATCCACTGAACTGTACATTTAAAAATGGGTAAGATGGTAGAAGGTTATGTGTATTTTTCACAATAAAACAAATACACACACACACACACATACGAAGTGCCAGGTATATAATAGGTGCTATATAAAGGTTGGCTATTGTTTATTATTATTATCAATCTTAGATACATATTATTTCCCACTTCATTTTATAAGTATTCGTGTCTATATATTTTCTCTCCAAAAAAGCCTCTTGTTCATGCATAAGAGTTCCTGTACCCCACTTAACATAGCAATCTGATCATGGGCAGCTCTAATCCACTCACACAAAATGAATAAATGAATGAATGAGTGAGTGAATGTGTTCACCAGAAAACAGAATATCCCAAAGTGACTGATGTAGCCCTTAACCTTCTGATTGATAGAGGAGACAGTGCCCTCCATCAGTGGATAGTCCTGAAAATAGCCCAGACAAGACACTTGGAAAAGCTCCAACAGTGTGATGCTGATTTCTGGCTCTATGATTTTCTTTTTGGTGGGTTGGTTCTGAAGCTTAGGAATGATCAAGGTCAACCTAGGGACCCACCTCAGGGTCATTTTGTGTTTGGAGGACTGTTTGGAGACTGAGTCCAAACAGAAGGTACCCCCAAGTGTTTGGGCTCACCTCAGGGTGGTCTTGAGGCTCCATTCAATATTCACTGATACTTGGCTCCTAAGGCTGGTCCTTAAGTGACCAAGCTTTGGAGGAAGAAGCAGGGAGCTGTGTGTCCTACCACTCATGACAACATTCATCCTTTCAGCAGGGAGCCCTTTCTCCTTTCCTTACAGTCCTGTCCCACCCCATCTGTTATGAGCAAGCAGGAGAGAGCCAGTCTGTAGCCTTCAGTAAATGTTGCAAACCCAACTGTGTTAAGAGACGTTATAAAAATGCCCCATGTTACAAACCCAACTGTGCTGAGTTAAGAGACATTATATAAACAACCTAGGAATCACCTGAAAGAACTGGAGAGCTCTGCAAAGGAGTGAATGCATCTTGTAAGCAAGGAGAGGGAGCTCTCTGGGACTGAGTGCACCCAAACTCTTGTGTCTCTCACAGTAAGTATTGGGCTATTTTTGTGTGGAATATTTTCACAGGCTCATCGAGGTTGTGAGGCTTCATCAGAAAGCAACAGTTCACCTTGTGGGAGACTAAAGTTAATTTTCGGGGACCTTAAACAACCTTTGGCCCTGGTTTAGGAGGCTGGGGAAAGAGGAGTTGAGTGACACTGGGCAGCAGGAATGAAAAGCCACAAGGCAGATGATTAAAATGGTGGCTGAAAAGGGCAGTGAGAAAAGATGAGCCAAAGGCTTGAAGATTATGAGAGAGCATCTAGTGCTGCTGGAGAAGGTCAGGGGAACAGAGTGCATGTTTAGGCTGTGGTTCCAACCCTCCCTTTGACCTGGATAGTCTCTGCCCTAGACTGACCTCCCGTTTCACACACTTTGGTCTTATAAAGTGGGTTTGGTTTAAATGCCCAGCCAGTTAGAGATTACAGATGAGTCACTGTGTCTGAAGGGTTTTATACCATTTGTGCCACCTTGGGAAGGCACATTCTGCTGAGTGGGCCCAAATGCAGCAGGTGACAAGTCACTTTGTCAGCCAAAGGCTCCCCTTTGAAGACACACCATGGGGCCACTGCAGGGACAAGGGCAGGGCAGTATGTAAGAGCTTGGAATGTGACCCTTATCTGAGCTGCTGTGACTTTAGCTCCTGTGGATAGGATTAGATGCAAAGGTACTGCCCTCACAGGAGTCCTGAACCTGTTTGGGCTCTCAAGATTATCTTTATACAGACAAATACAAATACACCCTCCACTGCCTCCTCCGCGCCCCCCCCCACCCCGACACACACACACACACACACACACACACACACACACACACACACACACAGCAAGCACCTGGGACTAGCTTACCAAGCCAGGCCTGGGACCTGATGGGGCTTTGTTTCAGAGGAGGATGGAATTGCCTGCTAGAAATAGCAAGCTGCTGCTTTCAGCAATGGGGCTGGGGCACACAATCCATGTACACTTTGTATGCAGACAGAAACCTGAAATAAAAACAATTCAAATAAAGGTATTTGACAAAGAAGCTAAATTGAGGAGAGGCAGACTGGCTCAGTGCCCAGAGAATCAAGAAGCAGTCATTTCTAAATCCAGCTCTGCTGTTGGTGACCTTGAACAAATTATTTATCCTGTCTGTTTCTCCATTTCTCTAAGGTTAAATCAAGAACTATAATTCTGACCAGCTAACCAGCCAAAGTTTAATTGGGGGAAGAGAGAGAGAGAGAGAGAAAGTGAAAGTTAATAAAATTGTTTGCCTATATACAAAGTACAAAATGTTAAGGAATGCAATAAAGCCTTCTTCGTGACATTTGGCTCTGTACTTTGTAACTTCCTGTCTCTATCCCATACATTCAGGCCTGTTACTGGTTGAAAACCGTTTTTCAAGAGGCCCCATATTATGTCGCTCATGGAGCCTAAATTTTGGTTTGACTTCTGTCCTTCTATCTGATTTGAGCAAACCTCTTACACATTTTTCTCTCTCAGTTTTTCTGTGTCTGAGATGAGAGTGTTATTTGTCTTCCTCTCTCAGGAATGCTGTAAGGTAAGGAGAGAAGGAAGTGAAGAAGTGCTGAGGCTTTGACACTAAGGTCCTCCAAGAAGGTGACATTGGTTGCCAGAGAAAGTCACTTTGATTAGGAGACATGGGTCCTGGCTTTAATCCCATCTATATAGTCTTTTCTAAGGCTAGAGGGATCAAGCAGCCTGGACTTGGATGTGACATAAACATATTCTTGTATTGCACAAGCTATACTGCCAGTAGATTCCTGATTTTTTTTTTCATCACAGGATCCCTAATGCCTGACATAGAGGAGGTATTCAATAAACACCTGTGGAATAATTGGCCAACTAACAGATTGACAATGCCCTTTTCTGGACTTCAAGTGCAGCACCCTATATGCAGTAGACACTTGATGAATTCTTGCTTAATGATGTGCTATTATATTTAACCATCTTTGTACAGTATTCGGAGCCTGCTGTCAACTGCTTCAGCACTGCATTGTCCTTAAGATAAATGAGGGGTGGTTCTCAGGGCTACCCACAACAGCACCCTGTTAGCAAAGAGTGTATAGATATCTACAAAGTGCAGTGACAGGGAGTGGCATTCTGTGGCTTTACTGGGAAAGCCCAAGACATTTTGGAAGTTGCAAGACAGTCCTCGTTGACTCTAAAGAATGAATGGATCTATTCTTTCAATGTATCACGGGGCAGATAAGCCTAACACAGCCATATCTAGTTATACCAAGTCAAGATACTCACTGAGATCCTAATCTTCAGTATTTATTTAAAAGACTCAGAACCACATTGACGCTTGCTTCTAAGTCTTTCTCCAGGTTGCATAGTGAGCAAGCATGTCTTATTTACTCTCTAGCTCCAGGTTTCCGCAGCATCTGCAAGGGGCAGAGGCTGCAGGTCCGCATACCACGCATGTGCTTTACCTGAGCTGTTCCATGCCTTTGATCCTCTCTCATCTGGGAGTTTTTATGTATATTCGACCAGCACTTATCAAGGAAGTCCTTATACATAACTGCCTCATGTCTGTATCTGGTTGCAAGTATGGACATGCTGTCTCCCTTTTTCATTTGACAAAAATGCATTGTATGGAAATTAGTATTAAAGGGGTTGCTAACAAATTCACCAGCCTCTCTTAAGGTAAATGATAACTGATCATAGAGGTAGAGATTGGGGTAAACAGAAAAGACTCCAAATTTAAGGACATTATCAGGAAATGAAGGGTCGGGGGAAGTAACATGAAAATTGTGACAAAAGGCAAGGAGAAATTTGGACTAAATTCACATACAGTCATGTGCATCTGAATGTGATGATTTACGAAAAGCTTAAGAACTTTAGTTTTAACCACCAGCTTATTGGAATAAATATTTTATAAGCCTCTTAAGGAGGTTACCGAAAGTCTGTGCCTCTTTCCAGCAAGGTGAGCACTGCTTGCCTGCATCTGTGTTGGGATGGGTGAAAAGTCTAGCTTGCAAATGCTTCATAGGAACAATTATTATCAAATTGCTGAAATAAAAGTGGATTTTCCAAAAGCCCCTCCTGCCCCCTCTGCTCCATCTGCTACGTGTGCTCAGGGCATTGCATGGTTCAGCATTTAGAATACTTCAATCATTTGAGGGGAAAGTGACCTTCCCCCAGCTTGGAAAACCTTGTGCTGTGACCTAATGAGGACATTCCATTGAAACATGAGAGCTGGGAATGCTTTCTCCTCTGGGCTCTGATGTTCTCATGATGTTTGTGAACCAATCTGGCTTTTCCAAGCCTGTGCATGCCTTCACAGATAATGGCCCATCAACAATGGAATTATAGCCATTAAAAAAAATATATATGTGCCTATATAATGAAGAGGGTAATTTTTTAACTACATATGAAAATCAGTCTCATTAATGTTATGAAACATTGTATATTGAAATTACATTTGTCTTTTCTCTCCTTTGAGCTCATAAGTAAGTACCTTGGAGTGAAACAAGTCCTTTTCCTGTTGTATGATAGTCTCCCCTCCTTTTTTCTACTTTTTCAAGTACCTCTGAGCTCCAGCTTCTGTCAACTTAGTCCTAGATGCTAAGAGGAGCCTCCACATCTACTTCCTTGCCTCTAGTCTCTGTCCTTTCAAAAGCCAGCCTGAACACCTCCTATGTTAACCTCCCCAGTGCACTGCTTTGACCACATTCTCCTCTATTGGAGAACCTTCAGTGATATCGTTGACTACTAACTCACATCCAGTTTCCAGAGTCTGGCACTTAAGAGTCTTTCCAATAAATTCCCAACTTCCTTTTCTAGGATCATGTCAGCTTACAGCCCACTTTTACTCCACACTGTCATCAAACAGAGGTACTTACAATTTTCAAATAAAAAGTATACTGTCCCTGCCATAAACCTAATTTCCCATCTCCTTTTCCACCTTCTGAAGTCACAGCTGAGTTCCTGTGCCCCTCTTCCACAAAGTCTTCCCGCTTGTCCCAGCAGTAAGAAAGCACTCCATCATCCAAAATCTATATTTTTTATTTGAGATTTGTTTGTTTGTTTATTTATTTGTCTCACACTGTCGCCCAGTCTGGAGTACAGTGGTGTGTTCACGGCTCACTGCAGCATCGATTTCTTGGGCTGAAGCAATTCTCCTGCCTCAGCCTCCCAAATAGCCGGGACTCCAGGTGCTCACCACCATGATCAGCTAATTTTTGTATTTTTTTTGTAGAGATGGGGTTTTGCCATGTTGCCCAGGCTGGTCTCGAACTTCTGGGCTCAAGTGATCCATTGCTTTGGCTTCCCAAAGTGCTGGAATTATAAGTGTGAGTTACTATGCCTAGCTAATATTTGAGTTTTAAAACATAACTTTCAAAATAGTATATATTTATCCAGGAAAATAAAAATTATTTGAACTCTCATGCCCCAAAGATAACCTCATCTCAGTAGAACATCTTGTTGTACCCAATTCCCTACTTCCGGGCTTTTTTTTTTTTTAAACATACATCTACACAAACATTTCACACATTCCAGGTCACCTAATTGTCCATGGTTGGGTATCATTTTGAATAGCGGATATTATGTAAGTGCAACGCAGCCTGTACTGGACAGCAATCTCCCCATGGACCACAATTCTTTTTATCCCCCATGGCACTGAGTACAAAGTGATACTGAGTATAGTTTCTTGCAAAACAGAATAAGTGAATACACTTCCCTGCATACCAGGGAACAAACTCTCAATGAACTAATCCAATGACAATTAAGTGGCTATGACAAAAAATTGTATTTGGTGAACTACTTTTATTAGTTAATTGTGATGAGCTGTTCAGGCTTTGACTCTATAAGGTTGGGGGAGCCAATAAGTTAAGCCCAGCAATAATTTGAGTTGACTGCTAGGTACTTATTAGATTCGCAGACTTTCACTCTTAGTTTCTTAACAGTAGTGAGGATGGTGTAGGTGATGTAGGGTCCTGGGTAGGAGTATATTTTGGAAACTCCTATTCCTGGTTTAGTGTAGTGTCCCAAATCCTACACAGCTCCCAGGGCAAAGTATGGTTTTGCTGAGAAATTAAGGCTTTGGATATCTCAATGCCCATATTTTTAAAGGACCTATCTGACTGTGGGTGTTCTTTTCTTATACACCAGAAGCTGATCTCTACATCTAAATCAAGTGCGAATATCTTGTTTTTCAACTGTAGCTAATGTGATTGCTGGGTAGTTCTTCAGAAAACATCTTCCCAGTAGTGGAATGGCTACTCAAGAGCTGAGCTGCCCAGTTCAGTTTTTCAGATGACTCGGGTGATGAGAGCTGGACTGACCTGGGGTCAGCAGCCTGGGTGCAAGGCTGTTAGGTGAGGTGCTGCCCTGGCATTCGGTTGGATGAGTGAGTCATTGCTGTCATTTCCCTTATTAAGAGTCACAGAAAAAGGAAAGTAATGTGGCTCTCAGAGCTACTCTAAGCATTTCTTAGGAAGAGGAAGAAGATGCTAGAGTAGAACTGGGTGAAGTCTGGCAGTGCAGATTGAAAAGAAGGCCTGAGACTCATGAACTATAAAGATGCTGATAGTGTTGTTTTGGTCCTTGTTGTTATTAGGCTTGCTTGTTTGTTTTGGAAATAGTACTTTGTTCCCTAAGTACTTCAAAGTAAAATGTAGAAAAAAGGGCAATTCTGATTTATTTAAAGTGTGTGTTTATGGAAAGGAAAATGGAGAATGCATTTATCACAAACAAAAGGTTATTGTTGCCTGTTGGCGTGGGATGTCTTATGTTTCTTTTAATACATTTTTACTTTACTGCCTTTTTTTTTTTTTTCAGTGACAAGTTGCACAGGCTGGAGGGTAGTGTTTATGCCCAGGTGTGGTCATCGTACACTACCACCTTGAACTTACTCAAAAGTGAACTTATGACAAAAATCACAAAAAGAATCTTATGTTTGATAAGCATATCAACCATAATGGGGAAATTATGCAGAAGTCTAGACATGTAGCAAGAAGTACTTAAAGGTTAAGGTCTAGTTCATTGTAGCTCTTCTTTATTGTGGATCACAGCTTCATATCATTATTATAGGTGTAACTGGTTCTCATAGTTAACATGGGTAAATTTGTAGCATCTAAAGCTAATGAGAAGATTAGTTGAATAAGGAATTAGGATATTTTCTTTCTTTTCTTGGGTTAATCTTTTTCCTTCTTCATTGGGTTCCCAAGGCAAAGATGCCAAAATAACCCATATTATCATTATCTGGGTTGTTTGGGTATTATCTAGGTACAAGAGGCTCCTTCAGGATGCTATATAAGCTGATGTCAAGGTGGATGAACTCCATGTCAAGGTGTG